ATTGATTGATCATATGCCAGTGACTGCTGATACAGTTCTTTAATAACATTTACAAGCTCACTTGTCTTGTTGCTCTTTGAGATGTCTGGAGGTTTTCTAAGCGTTTAGTACTTAACAAAAATCCAAAAGGTTTTCTTAAAGGTTGTATTCATAAACTAGTATCAGAAAAGTGAATCTTAGTTTTACTGTAAGGTAGCAGCTTGATATTTAAGTTATACTGAATTTACTCTAACAACAACAACAAAAAACTATTGCTTACAAAAGAATAAAAACATAAAGAGGCACCTGTTTTAGAAACTGAGATTTTCAATTTTTTTTGGAGAGGATTTTGCTATAGGGCGCATGCGCTCGCCAGAAATACAGAGACAGAAAACAAGAAATCACCCCCTGGGGGCAGTGGCCACGCCACAATCCCTTCTCCTTCATTCTCCTCTCAGGATCTTGGGGATGCACGCACACTCGCGACCAGCATGAGTTTAAGCGACCAGGTCTGGGACTCAAACTGCGGTCAGTCTTCATGGGAGTCCAGTGACATAGCCATTATGCCAACTGCTGGTCCCAAGATTTTTAATATTTAGCACCTATTTACCAAGTACCTCAGCACCGAGCTAGAGGTTAGGTTGGAATATTATTTCATGATAAAGCCCAGATGTTTTGAATCACAAAATGTCAGCAATTAGTATACTAAGTAGTTTACCTGCCACACCCCCTTTACTCTTTACCACAACCATCCTTTCGAAGGAGCAGCTGTTCTTTTTTCACACTGGCAGATTGACTGGTTGCTATCCTTAGAGATTTTAAGTGACTTTCTCATGTCACATGAGTGGATGGAAAACTCTCCCTCAATGATTATTCATTCAACAGACTTTATCAGGCACTTTGAATGTGCCACTACCATGCTTAATTCTAGGGACAACCTGATAGACCAGACAGAAACCCTGTCATCATGGAGTTGTAGCTCAGCAGGGAAGGCAGCCAAATGAAGCATGTGCTTGCCGTACAGTCTGACAGCTGGTTGGCAAATGAAGTAGGGGTGGGAAGACGCTCACCAGACAAGCAGACGTTAGCTGGGTGCAGGGATGAAGAAGGCAAAGCATCACTGATCACGAAACTCACTATCTAATTTTAAATATGTAGAGAAATTGTCATTTCTTTAATTTCTTTCTTTTTTTTTTAAATTTTTGCTAGAGACCATGGACTGTGTGCTCTCACTGGAGAAAAACAGAGACAGAAAGAGACAGAGAGAGACAGAGAGAGTGAGAAAGCACCATTCCCAAGGGAGATGGTGATGGAGCAATCGCTTCTCCATTTCTCTTTTCAGAATTTTGGGCACCCATGTAAACAGGCCCACTGTATTTTTCAAGCCACTGGGTTGGGATTTGAACTGTGCAGTCAGCCATGTGGGATTCCTCTGCCTTAATTACGATGCACCTGGCTGACCCATACTTAGTTTATTTTATCTACAACTATTGCAGTCTCTCCTCAAGCCCTGACCTACTGGGTGGGAGGGAAGTACAGCTTACTCAGCTCCAATAACTCTGTGAGTCCTTTTAGACAGAGCTTAGACTCTCTTGAATAAAGTGCCTGTTCCATCTCTCAGGCAGTGTCCCTCCTCCATCTTCTTATAAGACCTGTGGCAGAAGGACAGAGAGGGTTCCCAGACATGGAGGATTTCTAGTCTCTAGGACCATGTGCTTCTGTGGCTTTGGTGCTTAATGTCTTACAGGCCTCCCAAGCCAATGTCTGTATCCAATGAGAGATTGGGGTCTATTCTCATGCAGAAAGGGCTTGTTGTATTTCCTCCTGAGAGAGGAAGGCTCAGATTGGCTCCAGTGGAGCTGAGAACACTCAGCTGATCTGGGTGATTCCCATTCAGACATGGCCCAGCTGATCTGTTCTGGCCTCACTATCCAGTTCCTTTATCTCTTGAGAAGCCCTTTGGAGACATTCTCCAGCCAGATTCCCAGTTACTTTTGAGTTTCTGGACACTAAGGATAAAAGTTTGGGGAAATCAACCTTCAGCCTTTTATCTACCTAACTGCTCTGCCCCTCCAGGATAACAATGATGTGGCACAGCAGACTCTGAGTCCTCTGGATTCCTGGATGAGAAAGCAGGAAGTGTGAGCGTAAGGTCTCCCTTCTGCCCTCCTTGACACCTTCATTTTTGAAAAGCTCATTGTACCCTCTTGCCTCCTTTTCTGTTTCATCTTTTCACAATTATCCTAGAATTAAAAAGGGTTCCCCTCTTCTTTGTATCCTCTCAGAAACGAAACCCTATAATATATCCCTGGAAATAATCTTTCCATTTGCTAAAGAGAAGATAAAGCCATTTAGACAGAATTTTCTCAGGAGATAGCCTGGCTCTTGCTACAGATACTCTGTTGGAAAGTTAAAAACTGAATATTAACCTCAGCCATTTTTTCTAACCTTCCTTATGGAAGGTTATAAAATTTAATCTCCCTCTAGACAAAGAGGGACTCATGCACACTTCCATAATGATTGTGCTCTTGGACAGGCAAATGAGAAAAACATGCGAATAAATTTCAGTCTTTACCTGGTTACCTATGTAAGAGTCTCAACTGAGACTGAGGCACATTTAAGGTACTGAAAGATGCTGACCTGGTTAACAGATAATAGAAAAGAGAGAGAGTACCTGCTGGGTATAAAAAAAAGAGTGGTAATCATTAAGTACTTTGTGCCAGCACAGAGGATCATAAGGAAAGGCCGCCCAAGGGCTAGACGAAGCCACTGAAAGGAGTGCAAATGAAAGGGGATGAGAGTAGATGTGCTTTTTGAAAGGATCCTTCTAACTATAGTAATGGACTGGAAGGAAGGGAATGAGACTAGATACAGAATTCAATAAGGTGTAACTGTTGGAGCCCACACAAGAGATGAGAATAATGGCCCTTCTTATAGATCAGTGAAGAGTGTTTAATTGCTGTTGTTTTTGATTTCAAGCACAAATCTTTTTTTATTCTAATTTTTATTGCCAAAGGGTGCATGCTCACTCGCTTGCTCTCTCTTTCTCTCTCTCTCTCTCTCTGTCTCTCAATAAACCCTTAATGCGGCATGGTCACACCACAATCCTTATTCCTCCATTTTTCTATCCCATCAGGATGTGGGACATGCATGCACATATGCCTGGTATGTTTTTGTGCTTAGTGTTTTCCAGAGCTCAGGTGAAAAAAAAAATGCACATTCACATGTATGTTTGAAGAATATGCTATTGGGACCAGCAGTTAGCATAATGGCTAGACTAGGACTTGAACTGAGGTTGGCCATGTGAGCCCTAGCTTCCTGTACACAGAATTTAACTACTGTGCTCCAGGGCCAGACCAGAAGTCCTTCTTAGTACCCAACTCAGGCAGATTGTTCGTGCACATGGCTTTGAACTAAGCAGATTAACCACACCTCAGTTTTAATCAGTTATTCACTGTCAAACTCATTGTGCTTAGTGTTTTCCAGAGCTCAGGTGAAAAAAAAAATGCACATTCACATGTATGTTTGAAGAATATGCTATTGGGACCAGCAGTTAGCATAATGGCTATGTTGCTGGACTCCCACGTAGTTGACTGTGGGTTGGGTCCCAGACCCGGTGGCTTAAAACTCACACCGGGCGTGTGTGCGTGCATGCCCAAGATCCCAGGAGGAGACTGGAGAAGTGGCCATCCCCCCTGGGGGGTGATTTCTCACTTTCTGTCTCTCTGTCTCTGTCTGGCTGGCGAGCGCACGCGCCCTATAGCAAAAACCTCTTAAAAAAAAAAAAGAATATGCTATTCATTCAGTCCTCTCTATATATTCTTGTAGTATTCCTAAGATAAACTGAAACACTAGTGAGCTATATATTTATATATTAAAATGTTTTCTAAAATTATTCAGTTTGTTTCCTTGAGCTTCAGTTTCCAAAAGGCAAAGCGAAGACTTGTTTATTCAGCTAACATTCAATGAAATATTATACCCAAAACATTAGTCTACAAAATAGGATAAGACACAGTCCTGTTTCTAAAAGACTCTATCTAAATTTCCACCTAGATGGACAGAATCTTCATCTACCTGTATAGATGAAATAGATATTTTAAACTATATGTGATAAATGAAATAAGTGGAGAAATACACAGCATATGGAGGGACGCCTTACCCAGGGAGAATACAGAAGAGAACGGGAAGAATGACTAAACGATACTGAGATGCCATAGAACACTGTCACCCATTCTTATGGGATCAATATATAATAAGGATCAAACAAAAGAAGGTAAAGAGAGCATCATCAAAACTGAAAAACAACTGCCCAGATGAAGGGTGGGTCTATCAGCTGTGGTGCTTTTGACTATGACATAGGAACCCCAAATTGGCCTAGTAAATATGAAAATGTGTTATCTCGAACAGCTAAGGGACCAGACATAGAGCAGACTCTAAAGTTGATGACATAGTGGCTCAATTATGTCATCAAGGACCCCTTTTCCCCTTTCTCAGCTTTGCCTTTCTTGGAGTTGGATTTCCATATACACAGAGCACCTTAGTCACAAGTGACTACAGCAGTTTCTTGTACATAGCATCCTGAGGAAGAAGAGACCATCTTTTCCTGAGTCTCCTTCTCAGAAGGGAGGAAATATTTCCAAATGATCCTTGAAGATCTCCCCTCAAATCTCAAAATTTTGGCTTTAAACATATGCCCATTTGTAAAGCAATCAACAGTACGAGTCATTGGGTTTCCATTATGGTCTTAGGGTAATCATTTGGGATGCTGTTTGTTTTGGAGGATCAACTACACATATTGCTACCTTAGTGTCTGTGGGCACAAGTTAAGGGACTTGAGAGAAGTTACTCTTTCTTCTGGGAATCTCTCATTTGCTAAATTATCTTTGCATTTCTTACATCAATGAGATACTGATTTTTATCTACTTTAAATGCCTAGGAAACAAGGCCATTGGAAAATGATCAAGTCATATCATACTAACTCATGATGCAGCTCAGGTACTTGCATTTTAAACAAAACTTACCAAAATCCACTAGTTTAACTCCACCTTCAGTGGTCAACAGAATGTTATTTCCTTTTACATCTCGATGGATAGTTTTGTTGCTATGCAAATGCTGAAGTCCCTGGAGATAAGAAATATATAATGACTTTTAAATAAAGCATCAAAAAAATAATATTTTTCATAGCACGTATCCGTACAAAATCAACAGGAAACATACATTACAATTGAAATTCAAACACTCTTTTAATGTTTTGTATTGAGTTAGTAAAATTAAAGTGTGTCACTTCCACTTTGGATTATACAAAAATTTATAAACCCTCAACATGACCTTAAATTTTACCCAACATTTTATTAAAAACGTGCTTTTACTTTTTTTTTTTTTTTTAGGCTTTTGCCATAAGGTATATGCGCTCACCAGAGAGAGAAAGAGAAAGTAGAAAGTGGGGAATGACCATGCCACAATCTTTTCTCTTACATTCTTCTCTTGGGATTTTGGGCATACATGCACACACACCTGGTTCAGGGCTTGTACTGTGGTCAAGCAAGTGGGAGTCCAGCACCTTAGGCACTCTAAAAATGTGTTTTCTCAATAGAATAAAACTTCTATATACTTAATTAAGATAATAAATAAAAACTAAACATTTTCTACCTTCATTACTATCACAATCTCAGAAATATACTTAGCAGCTCAGGATTTAAGATTCTGTTGATACAAAGAGAGGAGATTTATAATGGGAAGAAGGAATTATCTATCCTAAATGTTTCAGATTTTATATGCACTTTTGCATCAATAAATACCAATGCAGTGATATTTTTCTAGAAATAGAATCCACACTTTTTATTTAACTAGAATTGCCTCATAATTAATGCACAAACAATTTAAATTGCCTTACCATTAGTGCTTCATGTAAAATATAAGCAATTATAGGCTCGCTCATTCTTTCACCCCTCTTCAGAAATCCTTTCACAAGATCAGTCACCGATCCTCCATTACACAGCTAGAAAGGAATATTTCAAGGTGGATATTAAAACAGATAAGGCATTTTAAGTTCTTGCTATAAAAGTCTTTTTGAAAAATTGTTCCAATTTTCTGTTTCAGATAATTACTCCCAACATCTTTTTTGTTTCATAAATAAAAAGAACATATATACTTGTACTTGAGTACAATTAATTATTGAAACACAGTTTTTATTTGAACAAATTTTTAGTAGAGAATTTGGAGAGGCACTGAGCTTGATTTTTAAATTCAAGGATAAGAATTATAATCCTATAGATAATTCCCAAAGTTTTGGATACAGGGCTTACAAGAATGATTGATTTCTGATAATTAAATTAGTAGTACAATAGATTCAATACATATTTACATTCTGTTTTATATGTATATTAACTTAAAACATGCCTCCTTTGTGGCAAATTTCAGAGTGCATTGGAGTAAAAGTTATAAATAATATGTTAGAAAACTATTTAAGATTTCCTATGTTCTTTAGCATCCTCTCTCCCCATTCTACAAATGCAGAAAGAATCTAAGTAGAAAAACAAGAAGCAGCCCAGCCATGGTGATGTAGCTGTAGCACAAAGCTCTCCAATGCTAGAGGCCATATGGACAACTGGGCTTCAGTTCCTGGGTTGACCTGTACCTACTGGGTGTTCCTATGTGCCCATGATCCTGGCTGGCTGAGAGGCAAGAGGAGATGGTGGTGTGAGACATTGTAGAAGTTTCTTGTCTCTCTCTTTCTCTCTGTATCTTTCTTCTTTATCTCATGAAAGAAAGATGGAAGGAAGGAAGGAAAGGAAAAAGGAAGAAAGGAAGGGAGGAAGGAAAGAAAGTAGGTAGGGAAAAAAAGGAGAGGGAAAAAAATAAAATAAAACAAGAGGGAACAAGGAGTATTTTTAACACCTACGTTCTCCAAAGTTAGGTAACATTAAATCCCAGTGAGGGAACAAGGAGTATTTTTAACACCTAGGTTCTCCAAAGTTAGGTAACATTAAATCCCAGAGAACTCTTCAAAGGAGCTGCATGGTTGCAGAATACTAAACATTGATATTAGTTGTGACCATGAAAGAGGAAGTAACTGGGTAAATGGCCTTAGGTCAATGAGGTCTCATTTGCAGAATAGTAAACATTGATATTAGCTGTGACCACGAAAGAGGAAGTAATGGGTAAATGGCCTTAGGTCAATGAGGTCTCAGTGAAGCTCTGGCTCTGCAAATTCTTGATCCCCTAGTCCTTTGCCTTCAGCCTCACCCCTCCTCCTAGGGCTCCCATTTGTGGTCTCCCTGCCCCTTACTGTGACCACTTAGACCTCCTTTCTCACCTGCCTGTAGTACCCACCTATGCCATGGGAACTGCAGGAGCCATTTTCCCGACTCTTTTCTAGCCCACGTACAGGCAGAGAAAGGAGGTGAGAGCAAGTATATCCTTAGCACCCTAGCTTGAAATACTGAATACATTCGCTCGCAAGATTTTTCTAGTAAAGCAATTAGATTTTACTGGATACCTGACCACTTCTGGTACATAAAGGAATGGATGGTAATAGCTGAGCTGCAGTGAACACTTACTTCCTGCCAGGCACATTTCAAGAACATTCGCATGAATGTTCTCGAAAGCTCAGCACTCTCTGAAGTAGGTGGTAACATTACAGATGAGGAAACCAAGGCACATTTATAACTCATGTCTTTCTACCTTTAAGGAAAATGTCTTTTTGCTCATATAGGAAGACACACAGTTGAGCATTCTAAGATCTGCTTTCCCTCTGTGTCCGTAAGGGGACAATCCACTGGGTAAAGGACAGAGCATTGCTGTCCTAGAAGCAGAATACAGGGTCGGCTTCTGCTGGAGTCAGAGTGATTGGTTCACAAAATTACTTATAAATCACTGAAAAGAAATGGAATTCCTTAAATCCTTTGCAAATTGCTTATTTAAAGAAACTAAGTCTTAAAATCCCTAAAAGTCACTGCAGGGAGTCTAAATTTCTTTCCCTGTATCTCCAAAGTGTGCCTCTTTGGCTGTACCTTTTGCAGGTAACTATAATGTTAAAGCAAGAATGAACAGTCTGGCTTTTTTTTTCTTTATTTTATTTTTACTTATATTTAATCACTGTACATCTTTACAGCACATGATATGGGCTGTAAAGCAGAAATGCACTGCGTGTCGAGTAAGTCAAAGACATTACTGTACACGATAACTTTCCATTCTTGGGTCTACTGAATTTTCTTTTTTCCCTAAGTCCCTTCCTCCCACCCCCACTCTCCACGCCTAGATAGTCTTTGTATCTACTCTTGCTGTCTCTGCTATCACGTCTTCCAGTCCTTCAGTTTCTGTCATAAAGAGCTGACGTTCGGTATTCCTGAGCAAGGACATACAAAGTGTGTCTTTCATAGCCTGGCTTTGCTTAGCATTAAAGCCATAGCCATTCACTTTGTATGGAATACCAGGGTCTCACTGTGTTTTATGGCATACTAGTATTCCAACTAGAGGTGCCACATTTTTCAATCCGTTCATCTGCTCTTGGGTATTTAGGTTGATTCCATGTCTTGGCAATTGTGAATAATACTGCAATAAACATGCAAGTGTCGTTTTGACTATTGTCCTCTCCTTTAGATAAATACCCAGGACTGGAATGACTGAGTTGTATGGGAGTTTCATTTATAGGTTTTTGAGGAACTTCCTTAGTGTCTTCCACAGTGGCAATACTATTGAGTTGTTGGAAAAGTTACAGCACATTTTTGAACAGAAAAACAAACAAAAAAAAGTCATGGCTTTTCCAACAACCCAGTGCAAACAAACAAAAAAAGTCATGGCTTTTCCAACAACCCAGTAATTTAAATTTCCATCAACAGTGTAGGAGCATTCTCCTTCCACCACAGCCTCACCAGCACATATTCTTTGTGTTTTTGATCACAGCCATTCTAACTAGAGGTAAATGGTCTGACTTCTCTTACTTAGCTTAGTGACATCAGATTCATCCACATTGCAGCACATTTTTTTTTTTTAATTTGTTAGAGGGTGCGTTTGCTTGCCAGACAGACAGGCAGACGGAAACATAGACACACCCCAGGAAGATTTCACACAGCAATCTCTGCTCTTACATTTTTCCTATCAGGATATCGGGCACACATACACATGCACCTGGCGTCTTTCTCAATCTACCAGGTCTAGGACTTGAACTGCACAGCCAGCCATGTGGGATCTAGTCAGCTTAACCACCACACCACCTACTGGCTTATGAATTCTAAAATAGCCCTAAGCTATTTTAAGTTGTTAATTCCTTTCTCCACCCTTAGTTTTGCCAGAGGATATGTGTGTTGGGGGGGGATGTTGGTGTCCTGGAGAGGGAAAGCACATCCCAGTGAGGTGCATTCACACTGCATTCTCTTCTTTTCCATCTCTCTGTCCTATTGGGATTTGGGGCATCCATGCATGTGAGCCCCCTGTGTTTTTGAAGCCAAGGCTGGAATACATACCACATGGCTGGCCCTATGGAATCACCACTAAACCATGGGGTAAAACTGATTCTCCCTCCCCCCCCTTTTTTTTTTAATGCTGAGTGATGAACCACTGTTTGTCCTTTACTATTTGAAAGACATTTACTTTATTTTGGATTTTAACAATTATAAGCAAGTCAGTTCTGAACATTCACATAAAGTTTCAATTCTCTTGGATCAATAACCTAAGAGAATGAACTACTGAAACCTATTGGCCACTGCACTTGTCAAACTATTTCTCAAAGTGATGTACTATTCTGCATTCCCACTAGCTGAGTATAAGAGTACTAGCTGCTCTACATCCTCACTAGCACAGACATTATGAGTTTTTTTTTTTAAGCCATTTTATTGGGTTGTCAGAAAAGTCATGACATGCTTTCTTCTTTATTTTTCTACACAAAAATGCATCAAGACTTTTCTGATAACTCAATAAATTTATTGGTATCTTGTTGTGGCTTTAATGTGGATGTTCCTAATGACTAGTGATGTTTACTATCTTTTCATGTACTTGTTTGCCATTCATGAATTTTCTGTGATGAACTGGTGTTCAAATTTTTGTTCATCGTCTTTCTTGGTTACTTTATTATTGAGTTTTGAAAGTTTTTTAAATTTATTTCTTCCGAGAGAGAGAAAGAGAGAGAGGATCTTATACATGTTTTTTACACAGATCCACCCACAGTCAGTCAGTCTAGGTCAGAGGTCCTGTGTATGCCCTGCCTACAGAGGGAGGCCCAGGGAGGTGGTACTTTCCCATGTAGGTACAGTTGCATTCCCTGGTATCTTCCCATGTGGGTACAGTTGCATCACCACTGTGTCACTGTGTGGTCTCAAAGTATTTCATTTTGAATTGAGTTCTGTCAGTGAAGAACCTCAAAAGCTTTCCAGTGCTTTGCAGACTACGTCAAGGTAGATAATTCAGTAACTCAAGTCACACCTCACTGTTCTACAGCTTCACAGTGTCCTCAAAATGTTGCTCCAAAATGACATACCAACAAGGAAGTGAAGTTGTAGAAGAGCTTGGGAACATTCTCTCTTCTGGATACATGCCCTTTATCAGATAGGTATTTCTCCTAGGCTTTGCCTTGACCTTTTAAGTGTCTTTTGAAGAGCACAAGTTCTAAATTTATTAGTTTTAAAAACTCTATAGAGGCCTGGTGCAGTGATGCAGCAAACCTGAATTTATATGGAAGATCATGGCTTCGGTCCCCTGGCTGACCAGTACTCTCTGGGCACACATGCCCATGATTCTGGCTGGCTAAAAAGGCTGGTAGTGGAGGGATCACGACGTGACACATTGTTGAGGGTGTTTGTCTCTCTCTCTCTCTCTCTCTGTCTCTCATCCGAATGAAAGAAATAAATTAACTTTAAAAGTTGTTATAGAACGTATTTCTTGTTTTATATCTAAGAAACCTTTGCCTAATCCAAGGCCACACATTTTCCCCCTATAATTTCTGTAGGAAGTTTCATAGTTTTTGGTTTTAGTGGGACATGGGGAAAGTCATGACACATTTTT